ACTCTTTTCCTTCCCTGAATAAACAAATGTATCTCCTGTTTGAGTCACAAAATGGCCATGACCCGCCCATCTATGTTCAGAAATTCCTAATATATTGCAGCCAATACAATGTTTATTATTCGTAGATCTTTTTCATCAATGTTTAATTTTTCGAACAGTTTGATTACTTCTTCATGCTTCACACGGTCAAATGCTTTTGGATAGTCTATGAAGGATAAGTACAAATCAGTCTTTACTTATACAGCTCTTTCTGACAATGTCCTTTGGATGTATATGGCGTTGTTTGTACCTTTTCCTTCTACAAATCCTCATTGTTCATTGCTGATTTCTGGTTTAATTTTGTTTCCTATTCTTCTCATAATTATTCTCAGTAAAATCTTAGTCATGTGACTCATAAGACTTATTGTGCGATGGTCTTCACATTTTAAAGTGCCTGTTTTCTTTAGCAGAGCTAAAAATATGTATTTTTAAAGGTCATTTGGAATATACCCACTATCATAAATATCATTGAAAAGTTTAGTTATTATTTCAGTTCCAAAATCTCCCAGTGCTTCGATTTCTTCCAGTGAGATGTTTTCTGGCCCGGGTGCTTTTCCTTTCTTCATATGATGTATTGCATCCTCAACTTCTGCAGTCATCATTGTTGGACCATCATTGTTGGTCTGCAGTTTTACATCTGGTCTATTATCATCATACAATTCCCCTATATACTCTGTCCATCTGCTAATTATATTACTATGTCCCATTATTAAGTCACCATCTTTTGATTTTGAACATCCAGTGCTGTTGGTGTCATCTTTCCTGTTAACATTTTTATCTGTTGGTACATGGAATGCGAGTCTTTCCTGTGATTTTCCCCAATCTCTGTACACATTTGATTCAGCCAGGCTACTTTAGCCACTTTGCATTTGTCAATATTTCTTTTTGTATTCTAGGGTATTCCTCTTTATCATTCTTTTTCTTCCTTCTTTCATCCATCAACTGTAGTGTGTCGGTTGAAATCCATTTCTTTTTTGCAATTCTATGGGTTGGTGGGATTGTTTCTTTTGATGTCTGATGAACTAACTCACGCAACATATCCCACTGTTCATCAATAGTTTGTATAATTTCCATTGCATTATACCGGTTTTGTACAGTGACATTGTACTGTTCCTTAATTTCTTTATCCGTTCTAAGAATTCCTAAATTCAACTTGATGATCTGTGGTGTTTTTCTAATGTTTTTTAGTTTTATTCTAATTTTTCCTACAACTGGAACATGGTCACTAAAGCAGTCTGCTCCTGGTCTAGTTTTTGCTCCAACTAAGCAGCTCCAGAATCTTCTTGAAATCAAAATATAATCAATCTGATTGCGAACATTATCGCCAGGACTTTTCCAAGTCCACAATCTTCGAGGATGGTGTTTAAACCAGGTGTTACCTATTATCATGCTGAGCGACTCAGCCCATGCTATTAAACTGTCACCTCTCACATTCTTTTCTCCTAGGCCATTGCCACCCGTTATTCCGTACACTTTTTCACTTCCTTTTTTAGCGTTAAAATATCCAAGTACTATTGTTATTTCACAATTTTTGCATTTATCAACAGCCAGGTCCAACGCGTCATAAAATGCATCAATATCTTTCTCTGAACTATCTGCTGTTGGGGCATAAATCTGTATTAAGTTGATGTCGAAGGTCTGCCACGAAGTTTTACTAATAGTACTCTATCTGATATTGTCCAAAACCCTTTCACAGTTGTTGAGTTCTGTGGATCCAAAATAATATCAACTCCCTTGCTATGTCCCTTCCCACTTGAGTTAATAATTCTGTGCTGATCTGAATACTTTTTTCCTGCTCCTGGCCATCGCATTTAATTCCTAATATGTTGATGTTCATTCTTTTCATTTCCATCTTGATGTTATCCAGCTTTCGTTTTGTACGAGTGTTCTGACATTCCATGTACCAATGTTTAGGATGTTTCAACCATTTACTTTTTTTTTTTTGCAGTAGTGGGATGACGGTCGGGTATCACCCGTAGAACATGATGTTCCCTACCGGACGAGGTGATTCCACTGGAATCCCCATTCACGTCGTTATCTGAATTCGTAATATTTTAAGGCATGATTGACTAGGGATAATACAGCGGCGGGTTCCCCTTGTCTTCCGCCGGTTTGTCTCCAATAGCCTTTGTCTAAAGAGACTTACCCTACAAGGCAGCAAGGATGGGGGGAAGGGGGGGGGATATGGCGCCTCTTACCCGCCGATGGCCATGTCGTAGAGTTTTGAGGTATTTTATAGAGTTAGCTGTCCCACCAACTAACTCGCCTCCTATCAGTGACAATCACCTGTTTTGGTCCACGGCGACTTATTCAATATATTCGTGGCTAACCACTAGGACTATGGGAAGAAGTATTTCTAAACTAGCGTTTCTAGGACATCCGCTAACTTTTCATATATTTAGAACATTAAGAGAATCCAGCAAGACGGCATCGACGAGAATTGACTTAATGGCCTCCCGCTCCCCTTCCCCCCACCTTTCCCTAAATCTTTCGGATGCACTATGAGTTTAACCCCCCAACCCATTCCCACAGAGAGCACTTGAGTTCGTTGCCCAACATGCCACAACAATTCTCATCGCCGATCATTTGGATCTCAAAGCGTGAGCTGGACGGTCCGGTTATATGGTATTTACGTACACCGGAGCTTAGCTATCAACACAACCCGATCACATAATAACAAATGACGACTGGACCCGCTTAAGACTCCACACAAACTCTCACACACATATCCAATACATGACTAACCCGTTCATATTACAGGAAGACAACTATAAGACCACTATGGTCACACGCGGAAAATTTTCACATTTCGGAACTATTCACATTCAAAAACTGTTTTCAGTACTTTTTGGCAAAATTAAAATACTCAAAATTTTAAAACAATAAATGGTGGCCGAAAGGTCGTTGTGTTTGGAAGCTCGCTCTCCTTCGAGATACGCCTAGCCAGATCAAAGGGAGACAGAACAAACAGGAAACACCAAGAATGAAGAAGGAAGACATGCACCAGTGACAACAGGACGAGCGGTTTGATACGGAGGGAAGCATTAAGCCAGAAATGGCACAAACACCAGTATTCAGTCACGAAAGTGACGCAAATAACCCAAACCACAAATATAGGCGGAGACTGTTAGCAGCCTAGGCTAGCTAGCAGCAGTCTGAACGTGGTCGAGCTTTTCTTTTGTGTAACAGTGGCCAAACTGTTTACAACCTCCCCTCGATAAATTATGTCGAAAGTGCTTTGTGACTGACTGACTGACTACTTTCTACGCCACCAGGACATCACACAAGCGATAAACACCCGATGACACAAAGGGCCACCATGCGGATGAGGATCACCGTGGAGAGGTCCCAGAAACCGCGTTCAGACAACTGGCCATATTGAAGGCCTGCCCATATTGCGGCCCCTGGCAAAAGCCAGAGTGGGGCTTCAAACAAGAAAAAAATTACGTCCTGAGAAAGAAGTAAGTAAGGAAGATAATAGTGACTGGATTGGATTGGCTTTTTACCCCACCAGGACATCACACAAGCGATAAACACCCGATGACACAAAGTGCCACCATGCGGATGAGGATCACCGTGGAGAGGTCCCAGAAACCGCGTTCAGACATTTGGCCATAATGATGACCTGCCTATATTACGGTCCCTGGCAAAAGCCAGAGTGGGGCTTCAAATAACAAAAAATAACGTCCTAAGAAGGACGTAATGATATATGATAATAGTGACCGATTGGTTACGACTAAATCTGCTTATTTATAGCGGAAATTACGCTGAATCTTATGTACAATGCATTATGGAAAGATGTCAAGTATTTCTGCTGTTTTGATTTGTTTGTTTCAACAAACCCCTCTCCTGTTACTTATGTTTGCGTTCAACTGATCACTAAAATGCATTTGACATTCAAATTGAAAAGCAGGATGGCAACTCCACAAAGACTAAAGTATTCACATTTTAGCAGGTTATTTCCCTTAGTGATAATGCAGGGAGATAGTCATACAAAGGTTCGGTGCTACATTAATGATCTGAAGAGTTTCTAGCAGCTTTTCCTCTTCTTTTGTAATTGCTTTTCCCAGGGACTGCACCATGAATGATTAACCCCCAGCGCTCAAATGGTCACTCTGCCACCACTCAGTAGGACCTTTACAGAGCACACTACTATCACGGCCTTTTGGAAAGAAGCTCGATTACGATACGCCGTCCCAATACAGGATGCAATTTTTATTATTTCAAAACCCCCTCAGGCTGAGTGAGTGAGTGAGATTCAAACCCACCAGGACATCCACCAAGCGATATACACACGATGACACAAAGTGCCACCATGCGGATGAGGTCACCCGGGGGAGAGGTCGCATCGACTTAGCCATAGAGTGTGAGTGTGTGTATGTATAGAAAATAGGAAATAAAAATTAAAATAATGTTGACATGGGAATCTATTTTAGAAACAAGCACATTTACTACAAAGCTGGTGGGGTGGTCAAATCGTTGGGCAGATGTTACCTATATTTCAGGACATAACGTGAAAATAAATATATACAAAATAAACACGTGAAACTTAGAAAGAAACAGTATTATGCAAGACATAAAATATGCATTGAATGCGTGTGTATGTTTCTGTCTTTGCTTATCTTCAATATCTCTATCCACCTTCGCGGAGGTCTGCCTATATCTCGTTTTCCATCGCACTCCAGGTCACCGTGACTTTTACAATGGCTACATCGAGACAAGATGCTGTTATCGAGCCAATTCACCTCAATGCTCAGATCACGCAGAATGTCGGTGTTTTTCTTCCTTTATATCCATGGTATTCTGAGAATTGTGCGATTATATATTTTTGAATGATCTATGTCAGCACTCAGGTCTCTAACTCCTGCTTTTTTTTTTGTTTTTTCGTTTTATTAATTCTTAACAATTCCTGCCAATGTTTTACATTTCCCCAACCACACAGCTTCTGTAGAAACACAATAATGGCGTCGAGTCACGACTTGAAAGAGGGTAAATAATAATAATATTCCTAACTGCTACGAAGCAAACAACTTGTCGTTCACGTTTTTTTTTTAAATCTTGTACCTCATCGAAGTGTCGGGGGGATATGTAACGTTCGTTGATAAGCTCTGTGACAGTCTGTCAGAAACTGATAAAATTATGGACAGGCATATCTGATCAAGCCTAAACGGACTTTCTGCCAAGGAACAACAAATCGCGGCAAAACTAGGATTACTTGACAATATCAACATTGCCCTTAGGTAGGAGCCTGTCCTACTACTAGGCGCGTCCACCAGTGGTGGAAAGGCCTCTAGATATAGAGGTTAGCCACGAATATATTGAATAAGTGGCCAAGGACCAAGACAGGTGATGGTCATTGAGAGGAGGCGAGTTAGTTGGTGGGACAGCTAACTCTATAAAATACCTCAAAACTCTACGACATGGCCATCGGCAGGTAAGAGGCACCATAACCTCTCCCCCCTGCTGCCTTGCAGGGTAAGTCTCTTTAGACAAAGGCTATTGGAGACAAACCACATACAAACCGGCGGAAGACAAGGGGAACCCACCGCTGTACTATCCCAAGAAAATCATGCCTCAAAATAATACGTATTCACATAATGACGTGAATGGGGATTCCGTTGGAATCACCTTGTCCGGTAGGGAGCATCATGTTCTACGGGTGATACCCGACCGTCATCCAGCTACTGTAGAAAAAGTAAATGGTAGAAACATCATGAACATTGGTACATGGAATGTCAGAACACTCATACAAAACGGAAAGTTGGATAACATCAAGATGGAAATGAAGAGAATGAACATCAACATATTAGGAATTAGTGAAATGCGATGGCCAGGAGCAGGGGAAAAGTATTTAGATCAGTACAGAATTATTTACTCGGGTGGGAAGGAATATAATAAGGGAGTTGGTATTATTTTGGATCCAAAGAACTCAAAAACTGCTGAAGGATTTTGGACAATATCAGATAGAGTACTATTAGTAAAACTTGGCGGCAGACCGTTTGACATCAACTTAGTACAGATTTATGCCCCAACAGCAGATAGTTCAGAGGAAGATATTGACGCATTTTATGACGAGTTAGACATGGCTGTTGATCAATGCAAAAATTGTGAAGTAACAATGGTACTTGGAGATTTCAACTAGAAAGTAGGAAGTGAAAAAGTGTACGGAAATAACGGGTGGCTATGGCTTAGGAGAAAAGAATGTGAGAGGTGACAGATTAATAGCATGGGCTGAGTCGCGCAGCATGATAATAGGTAACACCTGGTTTAAACACCATCCTCGAAGATTGTGGACTTGGAAAAGTCCTGGTGATAATGTCTGCAATCAGATTGATTATATTTTGATTTCAAGAAGATTCCTGAGCAGCTTAGTTGGAGCAAAAACTAGACCAGACTGCTTTAGTGACCATGTTCCAGTTGTAGGAAAAATTAGAATAAAACTAAAAAACATTAGAAAAACACCACAGATCATCAAGTTAAATTTAGGAATTCTTAGAACGGATACAGAAATTAAGGAACAGTACAATGTCACTGTACAAAACCGGTGTAATGCAATGGAAATTATACAGACTATTGATGAACAGTGGGATATTTTGTGTGAGTCAATTCAGCAGACATCAAAAGAGACAGTCCCACCAACCCATAGAGTTGCAAAAAAGAAATGGATGTCAACCGAAATTCTGCAGTTGATGGATGAAAGAAGGAAGAAAAAGAATGATAAAGAAGAATACTCTAGAATACAAAAATAAATAGTGAACAAATGCAAAGTGGTTAAAGAAGCCTGGCTGAATCAAATGTGTACATAGATTGGGGAAAATCACAGGAAAGACTCACATTCCATGTACCAACTGATAAATATGTTAAAAGGAAAGATGACACGTAACAGCACTGGATGTTTAAAATCAAAAGATGGTGACTTAATAATGGGACATAGTAATATAATTAACAGATGGACAGAATATATAGGGGAATTGTATGATGATAATAGACCAGATGTAGAACTGCAGACCAACAATGATGGTCCACCAATGACTGCAGAAGTTGAGGATGCAATACATCATATGAAAAAAGGAAAAGCACCCGGGCCAGACAACATCTCACTGGAAGAAATCGAAGCACTGGGAGATTTTTGAATTTAAATAATAACAAAACTTTTAAATGATATTTATAATAGTGGGTATATTCCAAATGACCTTTTAAAATCCATATTTATAGCTCTGCCAAAGAAACCAGGCACTTTAAAATGTGAAGACCATCGCACAATAAGTCTTATGAGTCACATGACTAAGATTTTACTTGGAATAATTATGAGAAGAATAAGAAACAAAATTAAACCAGAAATAAGCGATGAACAATGTGGATTTGTAGAAGGAAAAGGTACAAACAATGCTATTTACATCCTAAGGACATTGTCAGAAAGAGCTATAGAAGTAAAGACTGATTTGTACTTATGCTTCATAAACTATACAAAAGCATTTGACTGTGTGAAGCATGAAGAAGTAATCAAACTGTTAGAAAAATGAAACATTGATGGGAAAGATCTACGAATAATAAAGAATTCGTATTGGCAGCAAACAGCAGCTATAAGAATAAACAACTGTTTAGGTACATTTCAAAGCATAAAGAGGGACGTACGACAAAGATGTGTACTGTCACCTGATTTGTTTTCAATATACAGTGAATATATAATGGGATCTTTAATTGATATGCCCGGAATTGTGGTTGGTGGGCACAATATAAACAATTTACGTTATGCTGATGACACAGTCTTGATAGCAACAAGTCAGAAAGAACTACAGGAAATGATAGACATTGTGGTTTTAGAAAGTGGAAGAATGGGCCTCAGTTTGAATAATGGGAAGACAGAAGTAATGGTGGTATCAAAGAAACAAATTATTCCTAAATGTGTAAAAAAAGTCAATGGTGTTATTTTAGGACAAGTACAGAAATTTAAGTATCTGGGCACATGGATAACATCAGATGGAAGATGCATAACTGAAATAAGAAACAGAATTAGACAGGCAAAAACTGCATTTTATAAAATGAAAAACATCTTGTGCAATATATCCTTGTCATTGAGAGTTAGAAAAAGAATTCTTGCTTCCTACACACATCCAGTTTTAACATATGGATGTGAATCCTGGACAATCGGTAGGCAGGCCAAACAATGTTTAGAGGCCTCAGAGATGTGGTTTTACAGAAGAATGCTTAGAATACCTTGGACAGCCAAAAAGAGCAACCAAGAGGTTTTGAAAGAGGCGGGAGCCCGAAGACAACTTATCACAGACATCAGAAGGAGACAGTCATCATTTTTCGGCCATGTTATGAGAAGAGGGAAAATAGAACATGTTGTGACCACGGTAAAGATCTGTGGAAAAAGAGATAGAGGAAGACAACGAGAGAAGATGCTTGACAGTCTTGTTGCATGGCATGGAGGTGTGTCGGCACATGAACTGATACATGCTGCAGGAGATCGCAGATTATGGAGAGGCATGATCGCCCACACCAGTCGGCAAGGCACCTGATGATGATGATGATGATCAACATTGCACACGGTAGTAGCAGGCGATAAATACTGACCGTTGACAATTTCGAGCGTTTCTGCAGACGATACTAGCAGACGATATTAGCGACCGTTGACAATATCGAGACATTACAGACGATGAAAGCGATATGGCGGGTAGACCACGCGTTCCCACGCAGATTAGCAATACTGTTTGTCCAATTGAGGATTTAGCAACGGTAGATGTCAGACCTGCCGACCTGTATCCTCACACTTTTCGGCATGCGCAAAACGCAATTAAACTTACCGCCCAGCGTATCCCCGCGCCGCTACGCGTGCCGCGGATGGAGGCTTACCTAGGTGCCTGGGACTCACGAGGAAGTTGGAGGAAGTTGCAGGAGATGCGGTAGCTGCTGCTCGTGAGTCCCAGCCATCTAGTTTAGCCCCCATCCGCGCCGCATGTAGCGGCGCGGGGGATACAGTCGGCGATGAGTCACAGAAACAGGTCCGCAAGTAACATATTGTTGAGACCCTGTTATAGCATTTGTTACGTTATACGGAGCCGGCATATTTTCAATACAACTGAGTCCCGTTCTGATATTTTTGGATATTTTATGGCCGCCATAATATGACGCCGTTCGGAGGAGAGCCGACTTTTCTGGTAGACGGCATATATATATATATATATATATATATATATATATATATATATATATATATATATATATATATATATATATATATATATATACTTTTTTTTTTCTTTTTGCTCAAAGTGTTGAATTAAGAATTGACATCACAGCACTCCCGACACTCCTATAAGTGCTAAGTCCCCATCTTTAGCAGCAAGCGAACAGTTCCAATTCCGATGGTACCACTAACCGTCTGAGTGTATATCCTTCTTTTCTTTTGCAACACATTTTTTTTCTTTAAAAAGGAAAAGAAAATCATTTTTAAAAAAATAAGAATTAAATAGAATATTAATTTAGGTCTTCTATCTACCTAATTTCCGTCTTTTGCTGCCCAAGGACTCAACCAATTCAAACCTTTAGGGCTAGCTGGGTTTTGCAGTTAAGTATTCTGTTCTACATGACGGGAACAGCCTCACAACAATCATCCTCGTTTGCCCTTTAGGACATACATGATAATGATAATTTACAGAGTTTCTATTCTTTATTTATATTTTTCTTGTCATGCAACAGTAACCCATGAGGACATAAGTGCTATGATAAACTTGTTCATCTTTAATTTTTAAACCGGCATTGATGGTTAGTGTTAGTCTTCAAAGAATTAAGCAGTTGCTTACCCACTCAAAGAAGAATCAGTTGAGGAGTAGATATGATAAGAGGCAGAGAAGGAGAAGAAGCAGAAGAAACTTGTGTTTGTCATTTATTCCTTGATACATGCATACTTAAGAACAAAAAATTGCTGAAAGCATATCTTTTGAAACCTAATTTTTCAGTTCTAAAAGAGATCCTGGAAAATCGGGGCAGCTTGGCTGAGATAAAAGCACGATTAAGAGCAGAAGTGTTTACAGCTCTGGATGAGCCAGCAGAACTGAAGCCAACACTCAGCAGCGACAATCTGCTTATTTTTGAATTAATACGTGAATTCCTGGAGTACAACAGATGCAAATATTCAGCCTCAGTATTAGTTTCAGGTAATTCTATGTGTGTTATGAGATAAGTGTATGTATTTTTGTGGGTAAATATGTGAAAGTTACAGGTAGGTCTGTCAGTATTAATATGACGATTATGTGTATTTATGTGGATAAATATGTGAAAGTACTGGATACCTTTGTGAGTATTAATGGGACAATTGTATGTATCTGTGTAGATAAATATGTGAAAGTTATAGGTACCTATGTGAGAACAGATATAAAATTTATGTGTATTTGTTTGGATAAATATATGACAATTGTCTGGGTACTTCTGTGAGTACTAATGTGACAAGTACATGTGTTTATGTGGATAAGTGCGAAAGTTCTGGATACTTTAGGGAATGCTGATAGGCAAGTTGTATGTATTTATGTGGATAAATATGAGAAAATGTCAAACTTTATTAATACATATGCATAGTTCCAGTGGTCTAGGGATAACTGTGAATTTTCACTCCCTTCTCTGAGTACTCGTGTGGAAACGGATTAGATGAGAATAAAACAGAATTAACACATATTGTTCAAAGTATGTTGTTAACAAAAATGGATAATATAATTGCGTTCATATGATTGCTACTTGTGTAAGTAATTGGTAATTTGTAACTTGAAGTACATGATAGAGCTATTATTAATTTCAGTGCACATTACATTTTCAACGGTAAGTAAAACAAAAAGGTAAATGACCCTTTTCCACGCCTTTTTGTCTATAGGGCATATAGAGCTAGACCTATATTTTTATAGACCAATCATCACAAGATGGGTGATGTAATGACTTCCTGGGACTGCACGCAGTACCAACTCAAGGCTGGGTCGACCTGGGAGTCGAGGTCATTTTTTTTTTTAAATCCGATCCGCAGCGTAAGATTTTCAACAGTTTTACTTTTTTTTTTAGTGTGAAGAAGTTTGCAAACATAAACTTTTTTGGGCGGTTAAGAATAATTTTCATGAGGGTACAAATATATCTATTCCAGAGCCATACATGCTAAAAATATTCTGTTTTTGTTTTTCTGGATATGTTTTTAATTATTGTAATTTTAATTTGTTAGCAGCCTATTCAATATGCTTTTATTTTTTTATTACTGCTCAGGATCTTTAACATGTAACACCTTCATGTCGTTTCTTAGGGCAGACTTCTTATCCACCATCTCAGGAAGGGGAAGGAACTACACAGTTTAGCATAATTTTCTTTAACAAATTGTTACTAAGTTATCCTATCCTTTGCCATGTCATCCCATATCTTTCCTGTCTTTTTCACTGTGTTCTCTTATTTTCTTCTCCGTGTATTTGTGGTCACCCCTTTTTCTTTGACCCTGTGGGTTCCAAAGTAATTACATTCTAATTGTATTGTTATCAGGTTTTCTCAGTGTGTCTTAGCCAAGGCCACTGTCATTTACTCACCTCTTAATTCACTAGGAGCTGTGGTAACATAGAGGCTTGATTCTCACCAGCAGGTTCAAAGGTCTAGGGCTTAAAATTGACTTTTGCCCCAAGTTGACCCAGCTTGAAATGGATACCAGGTAAAGGTGGTGGGCATGATTGTTGACTGATGTATAAAATTAAAGGTCTAGTGCTCTTTGCCCAATGTGTAACCCATATGAAAAGATTACCTTACTTGATTCTCTCAAATTTATTTAGTTTTTGCCCAAAGTGTACATTGGTGATTCTGTTATACCACTTAATTCCCTCTATTTTGCACTGGCACTACTTGATAAACGCTTGTAATTCAGTAGTATTTTTTTTTATGATTGTCCTTGTTACAGCTCCGTACATCAGTACTGATCTATTGCTAAAAAATTCCAAGTTTGTTTCAATTTTCTTTTTGACTTCCATAGATTTGCTTCTGCTATGAACATACTTGCCTTTTGTAAGATATTTTTTTATAAGTATATTATTGTTAAAAATTGGCTCATAAGAAATTGGTCACTATAATATTTCTATACCTGGATTGTATCTTTTTTCACCCCAGAAATCGGACTTCCAAAAGTACCTCTAGACCGTGATTTTGTACGACATGAACTAAATATTGTGGAGGATGCACCTTCTAAAACTGTGTGAGTTGTGCCTATATAATGATAATTGTCTTTGGTATAGCATTTTTTTCTGATAAAACGTAAACAGATAGCCTCTGACAGTAGCAGCTAATGAATATTTTGATGAAATTGGATATGTTGGACTAACAGGCACAAAGGCAGGTTCTTGAATGACATTCTCTATCAAAGCGTACCCGTTTGATCATGGTTGGTCAGTGAATAAAAGAACTAGAAAAAATGAAATATCTACTCTAAAAAGCATACTTCTTCTACTTCAGCATTCACCCTTAAAAGGACAGTTGGCACATTTATTGTAATTTACAGGTAGGCTGTGATATTTGCACTTTTCAGCAGGCCCCTAATTAGTTGCCCTAATTACAGCATGCTTGTTAAGGGGCAGTGGTTGTATTCATCTTCTTCTTTCCTCTACTCCTAGAATGCCTGGCAGTGTCCAGGCAAAAAGAGATCTCTGGAATGGACCCTTCTGGTAAGAGGTGAAATGGAAGAAGTGAAAACCTGTTCCTGGAGAGAATGATACAGCTGGGATTGGCTGTGGGCTCTGGGCACCACTTGAGACACTCTTCGCTGTCTGTTGAGGAGTAAGATGGAGCAAATATAGGCTTGTCCTGTGATGCTGTGATGTCAAATCTTTACCCCAGTGTTCGCTTCATATATAATACTTTTCATTGTCTCTGATATTTCTGCAGTCCATGTTTTGTGTGGTCGACCTCCGACTTTGTTACTGTTGTATCTTTATAATATTGATTTCTTTGGTGCTGTCTGTTGAAAATGTATTAATTTGCCTGCTAAATTGGGCCTCTGAACCCAGACAGGTACAATAATCTTTTCTTCTTCTGCATTCGCCAGATGTGAGCTCCGGCAGAAAGTCCTAGTTGTTCATCTGTTTGGAATTTGGCTTTGTGCCAGGGCCTGAGTTTTCTGTGTACATCCATTTTACTGGCTTATTTGTGTGCAGTTATTTCTTGCCGCTCCAGTAGATACACTCCAACTTCAAAGGAAGCCCCCAATTAGTTAACTCCTCCGACATGCTCGTTGAGATGGCATTGGGTCTGTTCATGTTTTCCCCACAATGGGGCCCAGGACCCACACATGGAAGTCTTATTTAATGTGTTTATTACTGATAGTTTATACACTTATAATACGGGATGATCAGTTGCTATATAATTGGAACTGCGATTAAGTGATTAACTGATCACAGATAATCCATGCAGTAATGAATAATTATAGTTATGACTGCTCTGTACCATTGTGGTGTCTGCCATTAGTTTTGAATTGAGGGTTTTTTAACAGTATAAACATTTTCTTTTTTTCCCTTTTATTTTGGCATTTCAAGAAATTTGAACAAAGAAGACACAAATAGTAGATTCTATAATTTGTTGTCTAGCATATTTGGCTGTATCTCATCAGGTAGGTAATACAGAATTATACATGCTGAAGTCAGTAAATAAGTCAGATTGTGTCTTCTGTATTCAGATTTAAGATGAGGAACGGTATCTTTATTGGTCTTCCTGACACTGCTCTTTTTTTCTGGTTTTCTCCAGGCCATTGTTATATAGCCTTGTTTCCAGTTACAAAGACAGTAACATGGATAGATGGAACAAAATACAAGGCAATTTGACAAAAACTACAGCAGGTGACATAAAAGATGGTAAGCATTCTTATATTTCTGCTTAGCTCAGCCTGAAAATGTATCTTCTTTTTTTTTGGAGGGGGGGGGGGGGGGGGGTGTATTTATGCAAAAGCAGAACTAGGGAGAATGTTTCTGCTATGTAACATAAAATAGAAAGAATAGAAATGCATGGTCCTGTGGAGAATTTAGAGGAAAATATGAATATTATAATCGCTCCAAAGTGTAAAGACATTCTTCAGGATCTGAACATAAGGGGCCTGGCTCATTGATAGTATTGTTACTTGAAAACTGAAATGTTTCGGTCAAATTAAACACCATAATGATTTAGAAAGAATAGTAGTGGAGATTATTGTTTTGGTAAGAAAAGATGAGGGTCATTCAGCATGATTGTGAATACAGGATATCCAGGATACACTGGGAGGAAAGTTCATAAGGTCGTAGAGTTCGCAAAGTACCGAATGCCTTTTTTTTCTTTTTGGTGTGAAGAAGGCAACATTCTTTAAAGGAGCTGTAAATGCTGATGGATTGCTCATGCCACAAATGAACAAAGAAACTTCTTTCAGAAGTAATAATGTATATTTGGGAGTTAAAATAATCCAGCTCTGTGCCAATTAGAGTTAAAATAACAAGTGAGATAGTTGGCAGCACTTGACTCTAAGTTATGGCTTCTCAGACAGTAAGATCATTTTGTGAGGTAACCAGTAAATCGTGAGTTCTTAGTGCAGCATGAGTAATGGCAATTTGGCTCTACCCTCGGCATTCATTTGGCTGGTATCTGTGACTATGAAATACTTTAAATTTGTTAAAGAACTCTGAAAGGGGAACTCTGCAACACAGTTCCTTTGCAGATGACACTGTAGAAAAGTCTCTTTACAAGTTTCAGTCAAATCAGTTAAAGTCATTTTCACAACTTACTTGACCTGAACCCGAGGCATCAGACTTAAGTTAAAACTCAGTCTTGCTAAAGGTTCACCAGTAACTAAACAGCTTAGCTTCCAACTAGACAGAGAAGTCTTAGAAGTTAAACGTTTAGTGGCCATTAAAATACACATTTTGTTCATATATATTTCGTAAAATGGTATTATCACCCATGCCAGTTGATAAAGCGCTTGTGATTATGATATGAAGTCTAGTTGTATCCACCTGTGATCTGTTTTTGTATATTTCTGTTTTGTATCTCTGTATATTTTTTCCAGATGAAAATTGTGAATCAACTCCTGTGATAGTGCATGGAAAGAAACTGTAACAGAGGTGCTTTCTGTGAAAGTGTGTTATCCAAACATTAGTTACCTGTGAAGGATTTTTTAAAAAGAGACAAAAACACGTACACTGCAGACACTGGAGGATCTGATGCAAGCTATTATTAACTAGAGATCTTTATGAGAATGACATCTACTATACTCAGAGTGATAATTTTATGAGCTCTTGTCAGTGAGGTCACTTTATAGATGTTTAGATTCCTATCAGGCTATGCCTGTTATGAAACTTTTAGATGGTTGATTGCATTCAAAGACAAACAACAAATACCAACGTCAAAGAATACACAACCTGTCTATAGAATAGAATTACACAGAAAGAAAGTTACACCATTATAGTCAATGGATGATCTTGAGGGAAAATTATAAGGCATTTTATATGTGCTTTTGCTGTGAAATGACAAGAATCAATTGGACTGAACAATGGACAGCAAAAGATGTTCTGAAAAATATATTAGAATAAAAAATTTCTAAAGTAATATTTTAAAGGTGAGAGTTCTTATGATTATTTCACACCCTTAGACATGAAGAAACATTGCATTAGCATGCGAAATACTGGGGGCACAATGACACACACCGATACATCAATTCAGGCATGTATGGGATAAAAGAGAATAATACAAGACAGACAACTATGGAATGAACTGATCATGAAGCTTCACTGTTTGTCCAAGGGTTGAGGCTTCAGTGTTTGTCCCAGGGTTGAAGCTTCACTGTTTGTCCAAGGGTTGAGGCTTCAGTGTTTGTCCAAGGGTTGAAGCTTCAGTGTTTGTCCAAGGGTTGAAGCTTCAGTGTTTGCCCAAGGGTTGAAGCTTCAGTGTTTGTCCCAGGGTTGAAGCTTCACTGTTTGTCCCAGGTTTGAATCTTCAGTGTTTGTCCCAGGGTTGAAGCTTCAGTGTTTGCCCAAGGGTTGAGGCTTCAGTGTTTGTCCAAGGGTTGAAGCTTCAGTTTGTCCCAGGGTTAAAGCTTCAGTGTTTGCCCAAGGGTTGAGGCTTCAGTGTTTGTCCCAGGGTTGAAGCTTCACTGTTTGTCCAAGGGTTGAAGTGGTGATGATGAGAGCATTTTCATTCCCTTTTCTTCTGCATACATAACTGCAGGTTGTGGGTGCCAGTGATAGTCCCATAGTTTATAGTCACCTTCAGTCCTTTGACTAAATCTCATATCTTTTTTAAAGTTAGGACATTGTCACGTTCTGGGAGATTAGACCACTGTGTTCGTAATATAACTTGAGGTAATAGAGGTGGCCAGATGTTTGGGCCATGTAAACCAGTTACTTACATTTACCCATTCTGTCATCTTAAACTAGTATCTTTCTTTAATGCCTGTAAAACGTACTCTATTAATATTGTCAGTTGTTACAGAGAATTATTTTTTTGTTGATCATTTAGATAAAGAGAATTAGAAAAAGGTTTTAAAAAAAAAATGGGGAGGAAAGAACAGCATGCGGTGGCAAAGAATGGGGTGTTGGCAGAGGGCCTATGGATCATTAAAGAATATAAGGCAGAAGAAAAAGAGGAATATATTTATTACTAATTGTGTGAAAAAAAAATCCCAGCCTTACCAGGGCTTGAACCCGGTACCTCCAGCACTCGAGGCAGCACCCGAATTTGTGTATGTTATGTTACAATATCTCCATTGTTACATAATCACTTCTACTCTTAATGTGTTAACATTAAATGACATGGCTTCAAGGAGCTGTCTTTCCATGGTATTGATTGATTGTGAAGAATGACCATACATTTTTTGTCCAGTGAGCAGCACAATAATTTATATGGATAATTTAAGTAACAGCTCCCAGTTTATTGACTGGCGTAGTGAGTGGCCATATAGTTTTGTCCAGTTTGATCGATTGTGGAACTGGTGAGCAAATAGTTTCTGTCCACTTTATTGATTGTAGGCAGGTGTCCATTTGCTAATTCATTGCTCATAGAATAGATAGCAGATAGTCTCTCTGCAGTGTATTGATTGTGAAACAGTAAAAGTAAGGTAAATTTTTCTTCCTGTTTTTGAATCATGGAATGGGTGGCCAAGTTCTTGCCACTGATGAAGTATCATGTCTAGAGAGAGACAAAGGTCTTAACCTCTGGTAAAACAAAATTTGGTTTTATTTGTTCATTATCAAGTATATACCTGGCTAGTACATTATCTACAAAAGGAAACACTTAACCTTGTCAACTTTTTCCAGCAGAAACAAGCTTTGGTAGCAAGACTAACCATAAGCTGGGGTTTTTTTTTAGACTGAAAAAAATTTGCAATTAGGTGCATGATAGCCTGGTGTAACAAAATTTTAAAAAAATGTTAAAATGTAGGGCTATCCTCTGACAAACAGTCGGCAAAGATGGCGGCGGCAAAATACCCAGCGCTTGGGGTCACTGGTCAATTGCGCGCTTCTGGCTTCTTCATGTGCGCTTTTCCGGCGACAATGGCTACCGCCGCATGAGCGGCGTGGAGCCACATGGCGGTAGCGGTTGTTGGCAGAAAACCGCCAGAAGACCACAAATTAAGTAGCCAGAAGCGCGCAATGACCCGTGACAGCGGCTCGGCTGGATATTTTGCCGTCGCCATCTTTGCCGACCGTTTGTCGGAGGATAGCCAAATGTAGTTCTTACTTGGGGAGGAACATTTAACAGTGGTGGAAGGAGGATGAGGAATCAAGTGTATGTCACATAAATAAACCACATGAGAGGTGATTACAGCTAAAGGAGTGGCTGGAAATATGACAGAAGCTAAAATAACACCTCTACATGAAGCATGCAGAACAATACATGACTAGGTGGAACATGCAGAACACCTTTACATGACCAGGTGAAACATGCAGAACACCTTTACATAACCAGGTGAAACATGCAGAACAACACCTCTACATGACTAGGTGGAACATGCAGAACACCTTTACATGACCAGGTGAAACATGCAGAACACCTTTACATGACCAGGTGAAACATGCAGAACAACACCTCTACAAGACCAGGTGGAACATGCAGAACACCTCTACATGACCAGGTGAAACATGCAGAACACCTTTACATGACCAGGTGAAACATGCAGAACACCTCTACATGACCAGGTGAAACATGCAGAACAACACCTCTACAAGACCAGGTGAAACATGCAGAACAACACCTCTACATGACCAGGTGAAACATGCAGAACACCTCTACATGACCAGGTGAAACATGCAGAACACCTTTACATGACCAGGTGAAACATGCAGAACACCTCTACATGACCAGGTGAAACATGCAGAACAACACCTCTACAAGACCAGGTGAAACATGCAGAACACCTCTACATGACCAGGTGAAACATGCAGAACACCTTTACATGACCAGGTGAAACATGCAGAACAACACCTCTACATGACCAGGTGAAACATGCAGAACAACACCTCTACAAGACCAGGTGAAACATGCAGAACAACACCTCTACATGACTAGGTGAAACATGCAGAACAACAACATAATGAACAGCAAAAACTTCTGAAAAAATTGTTGGTTTTGTGCAAGTTTTTTACAAACGAAAAAGTTAGTTGCGTATCTTTTACATGACATTGCAGAACCAGCCCCATCATTTTTGGCTGTTTTGGTTTTTCTCAACAAAAGTTACCTTCCATAGTTTGCCATTAATTTCTGAATCTCGTTACCGCTTCCTGCTGCCAAATTCCCTGCAGCTGGGATGGAACCTGGCACCCTGGCATTACGAAACATGTTATCAACGCCTAAGTCTCAGACGCAGACAGAAAATGTACAGACAAGCAATAAGAATGATACATCTTTATCTGGTCAGTTTATAGTCACAGATTTCATGAAAAAATGTGTGGCGACTGCTAGAGGTTCATCCATTGCTAACCAGCCAAGTAAACAGCAATCGCTAAAGCTAACAGTTCTAATAACCAGTTTAACACATATTTCATGGCATCGTTTGCCACTGTAAAGCTGATCGAAGTATTTTCACTGCTAGTGTGCGTGCGTGCGTGCGCGCGCGCATAGGTACCAGGCATGTGCTGTATTTTTTTCCTACAGATCACTCATGGAGCATCTAAGCACAATGCATGAACTCTGCAGCACCAGTGAGGGTCCACATAATGTTTATGCCAGAATCCTACATGTTACTTAGTACTACTCTATAATATCCCACATATGTTATATGACTCTAACCCACCCTCAAGTGTGCCTGCATCTAACAGAATCATTGTTGTTGATGCAGAAGCAATCAAACAGTGAGCTGCTGGTTCACACCTACTCATTCCATCTTCTCTATATATTTTTTTTTTTTTTCACTCAGAAAGTTTTTATAAAGTTGCCATATGCATTTTACACGACAGCAGAATAAATGTGTCAAAATCATTTGCAGTTAAAAAGGTTGGGGTGTTTAATAAAATCTCTTCTGATAAATGTTATGCTACTTTTTTTTTTTTTTTATGTTACTTTCCACAGACTGCTGTAACAATTGATGTCTTGTTTATTATACTACACTTAAATAAAAAAAATGTAATCACATACTGTCATTGGTGTGAGGTATTAGGTGCAGTTTTATTCTAGACATTGGGGTGTGAGGTATTAGGTGCAGTTTCATTCTAGGCCTTGATATATAAGGTGGAGCTGTCAGATCTCATCCTCCTCATCTTTCTCTTCCAGAAGATTATCTGGTGCCAATTTTGAGCCATGGTCGACCCCTAACTGTGCTAGCTGGAATCATTCCTGCCACTTCCGGGGACTGACGACTTTTTCCTGATTGGTTTGATTTGGTAGCTGCAGTTTTCTACAGGAAGAGGTATACAGCCTCACTTCCATCATCTGATCCTTTGTCACACTGATATCACAGAAATAAACAGACGGGGAACTCCTGCAGTCGTAGAAACATTATATATATTAAACAGACTGAGGTATTGATTAGCACTCACAGAAAGAAGGAGACAGACAAAAGGAAACACAGGCAACATACAATTTGAAAGCTGTTTGTTATTCGACCTATGCTTGGTTAATATATT